AATCCCAGAGACAAATGCAGGATTACAAACATGTCAACTTTTTAAACATCAGGATTTGAACATCATCCTCCAGATTCAAGTCAACTCCTAGTTCCCCAGCATCCCAGGATGCTTTGCACCTCCCCTGCAACCCCCTCCCCCCTCACAGGATGAACAGGCTAGCCTTGGCCCAAGCTTTCTGCTCTGGCTGAGCAGGGAGGCATGCTCTAGAGCCCCTTGGCTTCTAGCCTGGGCCGCTGCAAGCATGCAGCTGCATTTCTGGAATCAGAGGTGAATGTCTGTTAACTTGCTTATCAGTTCAATTTATGAATCTTAGACTAACCTGCAAAGATTGAATAGGTTCAGCTTTGGGCTTTTTGACTCTCTGTACTCACCCACAGCTTTACCAAGTGTTAATTGGCTATTTTTTAGTAATTGGTAGTGGGGCTGAATCTCCTTTTTTTTTTTTAAATGGTTCTATATCCTATTCATTCTAAAATCTGTGGCCAAATTCCTAGGTGCTTAATAAGCAGGGGCAACTGTTACGGAAGATATGTGTAAAACTGAAATAAGATAAGATCATGTTCTTTGCATGAAATACCGACTTGTGATTTCTAAGCAAGAAACACATTTTACTTTCTGCTCCCAGTTGACTTATGTTAACTAGTTGATTTAGTCAGAAACTAGATCTTACTCCTTCCACTGGAAGTGCAATTGTAAGTTATAAGTGGCACCTACTGTGGATGAAAGAGTGATGATAGGGCAAGTTTGAGAAGCAGCATTCTATTGGATGTGTACCATATTTTCACCCCATATAACCCACCCAAAATATAACAGACACTCTGTTTTTATGGGTTTTTTTTAAAGGTACAACCAAGAAGAATAGATTTTATCTTGGCTAACTGAGTAGCAGCTGCTAAGAAACCCAGCCTGTTCCCAGTCCCACACATCAGATGAGGCCCACAGACTGATCCAGCAAGGTAAGTCTAGGGCTGTGCAAAGGGTCTAATTCAGCATAGCAATTAATGCTGCAATCACTGTACCCTCCATATCCCCTGCCAGATTTCTAGACCCTTGCATATAATACACACCCTAATTATCTCTGCATATTTTTTGGAGAAAGTACACATTGTTTGCGAGAAAACATAGTATTTTATGCCTTTTTGCTTAAAGGCTAATAGTGGGGATTTTCTGTACCAGTAAGTCTGCCAGGATGAAATTTATGTGCCAGTACAACACATTAGTTTGATGCAGCTAAAGGTGTTCAGTTACCTCTAATGCTTCTCCAATAAAAAGGGAGGAGGAGGAAAGTTTGATCTCTGTCACAGTTGGAGCTCCTGTCTGAAAGAATTGTTGCTTAGAAGGGTAGACAGACCAAAGCTATTTATATTAGGGGCTTAATCTTTTCAATACATGCAGAGCAGTTTACCTTAGAGCAGGGGCAGGCAATTATTTCCGGCGGAGGGCTGCATACCCAGTTTTGGCAAGCTGTCAAGGGCTGCAAGGGTAACCCCGCCCCTTGACAGGTGCCCCGCCCCCTGGTCACCATCTTGGGACCAATGTCTCAGGGCAAGCACTGGTGGGGCCCAGAGCGGGGTGCAGGCTGGCAGGGGCCTGTGGAGCTGGGTTGGGCTCCTGCTGGCCTGGCTCCATAGAGGCCCTGCTGGCCAGGACCCTGTACTCCTGCCACCCTGCTCTGGGCCCTGCTGGTGCTGGCCCCGGGATACCGTTGTGGGCCGTGTGCACCCATTCACTCTGAGTGCCCCACAGTACAGGCTGGGGGCATCGTGCAGCCCCGACCCCTGTGCTCACCGGCAGAGAACGAGCTGGTGCTGAGTACGGGGAAAAGCGGCCCCCGCCCCCACCCCGTGGCTGGCGCTCCCTGCTGCAGCTGCTCACAACCCACGCGGGGCTGTCCTGACCAGGTACAGGCAGCCCTAGGCGGGCTGCGAGCAGCTATGGGGCAGGGGAGGGGCCGCTTTTCCCCCCACACTCAGCACTAGCTTGTAACCCAGCCTACTGCCAGCCTGGGCCCTGCATTCGCCCATCAGGGCTGTGCGCAGCGGCAGCAGCTGCAGCCCCCCTGCTTGCTGCATTGGGTAGTGTTTGTCACTGCCACCTCTGGGCTACCCAGAGCGTGAGCTCCGGGTGGGCAGAAGCAGCTGACATTGCCCAGCGTGGCAGGGTGCAGCTGCTGCCGCTGTGCGCAGCCCCAGCGGGCAAACCCGGAGCCAGCATGGGGCCCAGGCAGGCAGCGGGGGCAGGTTACAAGCTGGTGTGGAGCGCAGGGAACAGTGACCCCTTGCCCGCACTGTGGCTGGCGCCTCACAGCCAGCACCCCGCACTGCAGCTGCTCACAGCCTGCGTAGGGCAAGCAGCTGCAGCAGGGAGCACCAGCCACAGGGTGGGGGGGCGCTCTTCACTGGGCTCCTTCCCTGCCTGGGGTCCCCACCCTCCGTTACCTGAGGTTCTGGCATGGTGCACTTGCATGGTCCCAGGCCAGAAGCCCCTTCTAGGGGGGAAGGGCTTGGGGGGCGCGGGCGGGCAGGCCCTGCTGTTGCAGGAGCCTACTGGGCTTCCCCTGGGTCCTACTGCCCCTGGTTCCTGTCAAAAATGAGAACGGATCAATATTAATTTTTTGAATTTTTTAGGGGCCTCACAGGCCAGATAGAATGGCCTCATGGGCCAGATGCGGGCCATATTTTGCCCACCCCTGCCTTAGAGACAGGATACCACTATAAGATGTCTGCATTGTGGCAACACCTGCTCAGGTGTAGCTTGCAACAACCCTTACTCCCAAGGGTGCGGACAGATGTAACACTTGCACTGTCCCAAGAATGTCACTGATTGGAAACCAGTTTACAATAGTCCTGGGTCAGGGGTGTTCACACATATGCTACTAAGGGTTAAGTAGAACCATCACTTTTTAGGCATTGACATGCTACCGGGGGGAGGGAGATGCCACCCAGGAGAATATCGCCCAAATGCAGATTTCTGCTATCCCTTTTCACTAACACTGAATTTAGCGAAGACACATTCATGCACCTTACTGACATCTGTGTGGTGGTACCATGACTGGGAGTGTGTATGGAGGAGGGATGGGGCGACCTAGATCCCTGCTTTCAGACTCCCAGGAATGGGGCATTTCAAAGCTGCCAGAGCTTTTAAAGAGCACATTCTCTCAAGATGAACATAAATATACTTAAATTCCTGGAAGTTGACCAGGGTGGGATACATCCCAGGCTGATTTTGGGGGTTGGGGGAAGTTGGAGGGAAGGCTCCTGGGGGCTGCCTGAGGACTGTCACCAATGGAGAAGTTGACCAAGTGCAGAGCCCAGCCTTCAGAAACCCCAGTCCCCAGGCACACAAAAGCAGGGGTCCAGGCACCTCCCCCAATCCACCTGGCCACCTCTCACCTTAAATAAGCATGGAATGCATGGAATTTGCTAGCAACTGATTGCTGATCAGTTGCCAGCAATGGGGAAAAATTGGCCAGCTTTTTAAAAGCTGAAGAGAGCTGCTCCTAGCCAGGGACACTTTAGCCAAGTGCAGACAATAGAGGTTGGGGCAGCAGAGTTCTGGCTGCATACCAGAGCAGTCAGGTGCTGTGCTGAAGTTGGGAGGGGGGGGTGCCTCATGCCTGGATGGCCAGCAGATGCTAGTGTTTATATGCTTGGTGTCTGCACATAACACAGCTGATTCACAGAGAACCAGTTCCAAATAATACTCGATTATCCAGATTATATTTTTGAAACTGTTCAGGTGGTTTAAGCCATTCTAAACTGGAGTGTAAACTTCAAGTGTCCAGAAGTACACTGCCCTTAAACCAGTTTAAGTGTTATGTCTGTTCACAACTTAAAATTCCCCATTTTAGAGTTTGTTACAGGAAGCAAGCTCCAGTAAGTACCCATGAAGCTTTGATTTTGAAACACAAGCATGTATTCCAGGTTTTGCCCAAGTGAGAGTCAGTTGTCTGGAGCTAAGCTGGCTTCATTCCTCCAGTGAGGGGTTCATAATTTCCATATAAAACTGATAACAAGCTTCTTGGGTGTATCCTTCCTAGAATTAATTTTGCCTATGTTGCACTAAATACAGGGAGCAGGGTTTCTTTCTCATGACAAGTCTGCAGTTATTTTAATCCTGCTAGGGCTTTTGCCATTGATTTCAGTGAAAATGGGTTCAATTCCTAAAGTAATTTAATCCAGTTTCACTCTCCATTTTTATAAAGGCATGTGGTACCAAAGTTGTATTTTGATGGGCAAGCATTTGATTCCTGTTTCTAGCCCCAGCTTGGAGAGGCACTTTCCTGAACCTAAATTGTAAGCAAGAAATTGCAGCAGAGTAGCACGTGGAATACCATATGCTGCTGCAAAAAACTGTGAACAAAGGTATCTCTGGGATGTGATCTTGGCCCCAGAAAAGTTGATGGAAGTCTTGCCATTGATCTTGCTGAGCCAGACTTCCCCAGAGACACTCAAAATTACTCTTTTGCAGAAGATCTTCTACACTGCAGGGTAAATTCCACTGAACAGTCAGGTTCTAGCTTTAAAAAAAATATTTTTCTTCAAGACAAGTGGAAAGAAAAAGAGACACCTTCCTCTTCTTTTTGCCTACCAATTTTTAAAATGTTGAAAATGAATAAAGATCTCTTCAGCACCATGCTTGGGTAACAGCATAAGCATCAATTTTATTTTTTTAAATACTAAATTACTTATATGCTTATGTAACAACGTCTTCCATCAGAATTTAAGCCCTTTACAAATATTAATTATGCATCTTGTCCCTGTAACTCATTTTGAAGTTCAAGAAGGTATTCCTATTTCTATAAATACCAGTGTGGGGAAAGTATGTTGCATTGTTTTCAGTGGCATTGTACCAGGAATTAATATGACCTTTTATCTCTGTGCAAGTCAGAGTCTGGTAGCCACTTGTTTCAGAAGCATGCAGCATAATACAGTTTTGGATTGCAGGCACCTAATCTTCTTTTTACTTTGTTGACTGACGCCTGCCTAGTCCTACATGAACGTCATCTCTTTCTGTGTTGAGGTATGGGCCTGATCCAAAGCCCACCCTAGTCAATGGAAAAACCCTGCTATTATTTCAGTAGGCTTGGGAAGCTAACAGGAAGATTTGCTCCATTACAAGACGATCTTGTTGAAACACAAGGAAAACAAACACAGCCACATCACATTGGATTCAGCACTGTAAATTAAATATGTAAATCAAAGTAATGTTAACTTGAAACTTAGAAAATTGGCAGAAGAGAACTGGAAAACTTAGGGAACAATCCAGTGCTAACAGAGAGATGGAATAGATGTATAACAGCTCTTTTCTTTTTCTAGTGTATTTTAAGAGTACCGATACTGTTTCTTGGAGAACAGCTGGCCAATAGTGACACCATTTTTTTTCCCCTGGATTTCATACATTTTCTAGGTAATATGTCAAGGAAAATAGTGTTGTTTTATCATAACACTTGGAGATCCCAGCTAGGGTTGAAGGCCTGTTGTGCTGGGTGCCCTAAGGAGGTTACAGTGCAACTAGACAAAGGATAGAAGAAAGAGTTTGGTCCATCACAGGGGAAGTAAAGTGGGGAGATCCACATGACCTGACTGGAGTGAGTCACTTGAAGCCTGTGTAAGGACAGACCTTCTAACCTAAGTGCCTGGAGTTCCAATGCTTTAAAATGCAAGACCATTACCTTTAAATAGACCTTAAAGGAATGAAGCATAGAAGTGGGGCAGAACAGAGGGTGGCACAGCAAAATGCCATAAAAACTGAGTCTGAGGAAGGTCTTTTTATAGCATATTTCCCCAAAGAGGGCAGCAGGCACCCTGCATTCATTTCTTTCTCTAACACTGGAGCAATGCAAGGAAATCTAGGCAGGGACAGTCTCATTTACTAAATTAGGGCATGCTATCTGTCAGTATTGCTGTTAAGAGGCTTATTAAAAGGGCACACAGTACCTGACAAGTGAATCTTCA